ATGGTTTGGAGCCTGGGCTGTGGGGACCTCTGGGGTCCGATCACAGCAGACTTCAGCCCTGCAAACTGGAAGGCAGAAGGTAGGAGGGGGAGGGGAAGGAGGAAAAATAGGGAGAAGGGGTGGGAGAGGAAAGGGCTTGTGCTGATGGGAGGCGGGCAGGTAGGAAAAGCAAAGGGGAAGGCACCAAGGGACAGGGTGGAGGAGAGACAAGTGCCCTGGGGGGGGAGGGTAAGTGGAGACAATGAGGAAAAGGGCAGGAGCCAGGAGGGGAGGTGTCAGTGGGAGGGGGGACAGGGTGATGCTGGGAGAGGAGAGGGTAAGGGCATTGGGGGCTAAAGAGGGGGAGGTGCTGGGAGAAGGCTTGAAAAGGGTGGGCATGAGGAAGGTGGGGATGGAGCAAGGCATGTGTGAGGGCACAGCGGCATGAGGGGAATGGGGGCAGAGGGTGGTGAGGGGGTGGGCATCAGGGGAAAAGAGGGCAAAGGGGGCAGGGGCAGTGAGGGAAGGGGGAGGCACCGGGAAGGTGCAGGTGCCAGGGGATTCTGGGGGTGAAGCAGAAGGGCTGACACCTGCAGGGGAGGGACCAGCACTGGAGGAGACAGGCAGGACAGGTGCGTAGAGGGAGATTTTAGGAGGGGAATGAGGAGCGGTAGGTCACATGATCAGAGTGGGGCTACTGGAGGAGTGGGCACAGGAGGGAGAGAAGGGCTGGTGGAGAGGGGCAGGTCTCAGGAAGGCTGAGGGCTGTGAGAAGGGCAGGCGTCAGGACAGCAGAGGAAGGTGAGGGGTTGGGGGCAGCAGGCACCAGGGGACGTTATGGAGCAAGGGGAGGAGACATGGCAGCAGAGGGAAAAGGTAGACATTTATAAGATATTCATTAATAACTTGGGTGCCACAGTAGCACATCCAAACAAGCCACATGAACTCAGTACTGGTGCACATCATAAAATTCATTCTGCTCATGGGAGGAAACTCTTAGAGGGAACATTTCCCCCAGCCTCTCCGCCCCTGAGTTAATGTCACACACATTGGGTTAACGCAATTGCAGGATAGTTGCATGCAGGGGGTTTGGTGGGAGCCAAACTAATCCCTGTTGGTAGGAGGATGGTGGGAAAAGTCCTTGGGGGGGAGTGTCACGTGACACCTTTTACTTCTGGTCATGTGTCCATCTTGCCCCGAGAGTGTTGCCTCCAGAGGCATGGCTAATGTGGGGTCAGAGGTGTGGCTAATGGGGTTCAAAGAGTACATTTTTAAAAAATCATTTGGGTGCACACCCTAATGAAATGTGCTGCGTGCGCCTGTGTATAAATCTTAGCCTTCATTTAATTATGAAACTAGAGTTAGGAGCAACTCATGTGGTAGTAAAGTAAGGAACTGTAAAATGGGAGGTAACAATGTGAGGAAAAGTTGGTACAGTTCAGATCTTCATCTAGTGTTCAGCTGCCTGCCAAGTATGCTGACAGCTGCTTCATAGCAGATAGAAAAAATGGCAGGTTGAGCATCTGAATTGTGTGATACTAGCTTTTGGTCTTTTATTTTGTAAATTTAAGTCTTTTTTGGGGGGGAAGGGAAGAAGAAATTAGTTGGAGCCAGAACCTGAAAGGCAGAGTTGTGGAAACGTTAATATTATTGTATTGTAATAAAGATGAACTAATTGCAAATGCTGTAAGATATTAAACTGCCACTGCCTTTCTGAGCATTAATACAAAATAATGAATGGAATGGCTACTATGTTATGTATCATTAGGGAAACCAAAACAGCCAATGCAATTTATTATTTCATAATGCAAAGACAGAGGCAAGAGTTATTTTTATTAATTGGTCAGATTTTTTGTGTGCCTGTGATGGCATATCTGCAGTGTGCTTACAAGAATGTACTTGTGTTGCTATAGTAAAGTACCTACAGGTTGATGTCTGATGGATTGTTAGGACTGATTACTATAGTGGTAATTGTGATTCAAGTTTAGCATCATAAGTCATGTTGTCTGAAAAATATGTTAATCCAAGCTATTGATTAACTAAATTCCTAGAGGCCCATGAAAATATGCAATAATGCTGGCTCTATCCTTCTCTTCACAGTCTAATATATCTATACATATAAATGCAGATCTCAGTCCTAGAAAACTTTCCTTGTGTGAGTAGCCCTCTTTACCATAAAGGCTGGTCCTGCCACACTCGTAGCTATATTGAAACATGTTAATTATTATAAATAAATTATTTGTATTGCAGTAGCACCTAAGAGCCCCGGTCATGTACAAGAGATCCATTGTACTGGGTACTGGTGTACAAACAGAACAAAGAGATTTTACAATGGGAGTGTAAGAGAAGCGGATACACACAGAGGGGTGAGCACAAAGTAACAATGGTCAGAATGGCAGACAGTGGTTTCAGTGCACCAGTTCTGTCTCCCGCCCACCGCCAAAAGTGTGAGGTGTGCACACTCTCTCTCTCTCTCTCTCTCTGAGGGAGGGACCATTTTTATTCTGTATTTGTACAAGGCCTAGCACAGTGAGTTTCTGATCCATGATTGGGCTTTTATATGCTATGATAATAATATATGTACAGCAGGTCTATACACATCTAGCAGTTGTTTTCAAAGACTTCATGTATTATGGATACGAAAAATTACAACCTTTTTGTCACTTGACAGTTTTTGATGAGGCATAAAACAGTGAAAGAAATACAGTAAATTATTTAAAGTGTACGGATCTACCATTCCCTGCTCTATGCTGATTTTCTCTACATGTACACAGAAATTACTTTAAAAATTCATATTTATTTTTTTACAGGTGCCTGTATTGAAACCTATGGATTTGATGGTAGAAGTTACCCCCAGGAGAATCTTTGCTAATGGTCACACCTATCATGTCAACTCAATTTCTGTCAACAGCGACTGTGAGACATACATGTCAGCTGATGATCTCAGGATTAACCTCTGGCACTTAGCAATTACGGACAGGAGTTTCAGTATCCTTTACTATGATTGTTTGCTCCACTGTTATTCACATTCAGAGGGCTTCTTTTAAATCTAGTTTAAAATGGAATGCATATTTTAACATTCATTTTAGTTCAAACAATACATTCTCCCTTCCCCCCCACTGCCTCTGGGAGAATTTATAACAGATACATACATCATTTTATACTACAGGCAGTAAAGTTGGTTACTAGTTCAAAACATCAGGGAATTTTGATAGATAATTAGCAACCTTTGACTTGATTAGTTTCTAGTTTCCAGAAAATTGACCAAGTCTGAATGATCTTTCACCACCTGACTGGCTACCTTATCCCCCCCTCTCAGACAGTCTTTTATATTGAATTGCTCTTTGGTGGGTGAACAGGCTTTTCAGAATTGACAGTCTTGACTCCCATGTCTGAGACACACTAAATGAGGAATTGTTATAGCAGGCCTAGGTCTCGGACATGTCTGGCCTGCCTGTGACACAGACCCCTTCAACCCATTTTGCACCAGTAGCTATGTCCCTCTGAAGTGCTGGAACATTCTGACAATCTGATGAGGCACAGCCTGCTGAGCAGCAGAGTGGGGAAGGGAAATCAGCCTGGAGGAAGATGGTGTTGAGAGGAAAGTTTGATGTTTTCCTGGAGAGGAAAAAATAGCCCAGGCAAAAGTGTGTCTGTGTTGAGTGGGGAGTAAAAGGACCATTAAGGAGAAACACAAACAACTGAAAGCCCAGAACAGAATGCTGGGTCAGCTTGCCCTGCATCCCAGCATTCTTATGATACTTTTAAAAGCATTCTTCATGCAGGTGAAATTGAATTTCTGTGGATGCTTATACAAGTCTGTGGGAGTTGAAAGTGAAGGCAGAGATCTGCTGACGGAAGAACTCTCTGAGGCATTACAATTCTATCAGTAAAGGGAAGTTTGGGATGGTTTCCTTAACTCTGATGTAGTTATACCCTCTCTGTTCATACTAACTTATCTGTGGGGGCTGATCTAATGTCAGTGGAAAGACTCCAATTGGCATCAATGAGCTTTACAGAAGGTCCTTCATTTTTTTTTTTTTTTTTTTTGTTTTTGAATAGACCAGATTGCACCAAATGGCAGGTGTGATTAAAAAGTGCCCGTAGGGAAGATACCTACAACTCTGGTTTAGGCCCTCATCCCCTACATACTCTTCAGATTATGAATATTGAATTGCATCCTATGAAACCAACCTATTTAGTGTGTGTGTTGCAAGAAAAGTATAAGCAAAGTGCAGCTCTATCTGATTTTGATTTCTGAGCACTGCCATCTCTTTGATTAGGGTGATGAGAGCACATTTTTGTTTAATGAAAAAGTATTTCCCCTGTGCACCAGCAACCCTCCTCTATGCAATACATGTGCCTCTGCTGCGTGTTGCTTATTACAAGCTAAAGGGGGAAATGTTGTTAGGAACCCCTTTCTGAAGTGTTGGCATCACATCACGAAATTATAGGGCAGTCTGTTATTGAAAATCCTTAGTAAAAGAACAGGGAACCCCTGCAATAAGGTTTGTTAGAATACAAAACCAGACCCTTAAGCATCATTAAGGCTGTGGCACACAATGAGAGAAGCTGGGATAGAGAATCCAATGGGATTATCTGGTGTCTGTCAGTTTTTGTTAAAGTCTTTTCTATTGTTCACTGGTTGGGAGGTTAATTTTACCACTCAAGAGACAGAGAGACTGATTGCACTGCCTGGAGCCTAGCATTGTGTTGACAATCTCTGTGCATACTTCCCTACATAACTCTGCCTCCATGCATCAATCCTTGCTATCCAAGTCCTAAGCAGAGACAGTCAAATTGTACCAGATTGTCTCTCATTTTTATTATATGGTTATATGTTTACTAAGGGCTTAATTCATATATCATTAAAATCAATGAACATGTTTACAACTGCTTTAATGAGAGATCAGGCCACTATGACTAAGGACAGAGGACCATTTTAGTGGACAGTAGAAACCTAAATATTTTTGAGGATCTGAGCCAAAATTTCCAGACTTGGTTGCTTAAAATAAAGCATCTAAATCCATATTTAGTCACTTACATAAAAGCAGCCTGATTTTTCAGAGGTGCTGAGCATGTAGCATTTCCTATTGAAGGTGCTGCAGTTACATTAAGAATGAATTTGGTCCATATGTTCACCCAGACCCGTTATGTTCATCCAGTACTTTCCAGACTGGAAAGTACTGGATACATAACTAAGCCATTCTAGCACCAACCCCCTCCAATCACTGAGCACCTTCAAGTTTGGGAAAATTTGAGTTTTTCATATAGCCCCCTCTACATCCCTCTCAAACATTGTCCACTAAAGGGAGCAAGTGTTTGGGACTTTGAATCCCAGAGACTTATCAGAGGGTTTCTTCTTCTCTGCCACGATAGCATCTTCAGGACCTAGACAGCCACTATCTGTATCCCTGTATGGGTACTCCTAGCTCTATTAAATCCTTCATGGGTTCCATTTGGAAATGAGGGTGCTGCAGAGGACATTGTCACACAGCAGAGGTAGGTCCTCTGTTACATGCCCTCCTCCCATAAAAGCCCCAAGGAGCCCCTTTCATGAAGAACTTCCCTGCTACACACACAAGCTGGAGGGGCATCTGGCAAAGGTTCTCTCAATACACATTCCAAGAAAAGATGCTCCAGGTCTGGATAAACTGTTAAACTATAATTCTAGATCCAGATATTCCAAAACTTTGGGAGAGTTCTAATCCAGATTGGGATTAATTAGGAGTAGGTTCACGCCTAGTGGTTAAAGATGGAACCAGGAAGAGACATATTATCGTCAAGGAACAGAGAGACTGTTGTGGGAAAGCAGCACCTGCCCAGGTCATGGAAGGTCCTCTGCTCCCCCTTACACTAACCTCTGGTTATTCCATAATTGTCCATAATGTGGTTTCTTCTTTTCACTTGTCTTTGAAATATCTGTTTCTGTCCACTATGACAGGCAGGATACAGAGTTATGGGGCACTGGTCTGATCCAGTATGGCTGTGCTCTGTAAAGTATCCAGGACAGCTACTCTGTATATTAAAAAATATGTAGTCCTTTGTATTACATCAAGTTTATGTAAAGGATACTGAATTTCAACACAAATGTCTTGGTTAATTTTTAAAAAAAGCCCTAAATGTTAATTATATTTAAATATGGCCAAACGGCCTTTTTCAGGCTATTTCCCATGTGAAAAGTATAAAAGTGTGCAGATTGACTAACCCAGAGTGAATGTCTAAAATCCAAAATATCTGTAAATCCCTAAAAATAGAGTGGTTACAATTAAAGCAGGGATATAATCAGAATTTACATGGTCCAAGTATGGTCCTGGACTGTATTTCAGGTGTATGTACAGCTTTATCTACAGATCCTTTACACATACTATTTAATCTCCACAACAGTCTACGAAGATAGATAAAGAAGAATTTTACCCCTTTGTTCTAGATGGGTTAAATGAGACAGAAATGTTACGTGAATTGCCTATGAGAGATCACCTTACTTTAGATTCCAGCATCATTACATCTCTGGACAGCTGCCCTCATAATAAGAAAAAACCCACTTGTTTAGGTTTTAAAAAAATGGTTGTCTGTTCCCCCAAAGCTGCATCATAAAATTCATGGTATCTGTGCCTGAATGGTCAAACAAAGTTGAAAGAGAGATGGTTCCTATGTAAATTCATACGTCTCAGTGGCAGAACAGTTTGAAAACAAGACTATTTGAGATTTAACACCATCATCAGGAGATTAGTATTGCTGTTACAGTCTAGTCTGTTACTGCTTTGAGAGCTGTGTTACATGCATCCACAAACTCTCTCACAGAATATTTACAGATATGTTCTTGGAGTTTTCAGTTGAACCATTGATTTAACCCTTACAATACTGCATGATTCCTCGGTAGAGCCCTCAGTTTCCAGTTCTACTGTGTTTGTGGGTGGGAGAAACGGAGTACATTTCTAAGTATTTGAGGTATGGGAAGGTTTCTACATCTGGGAAGCAAGAGGCTTGGGACTGTTGTCCAGATTGATGGTATTAGGAAGGGTCTTGCAACTTGGAGACAGGTTGGCATGGGTGCAGGTAGTGAGAGACATTAGGTAGTTTTGGGGCTGGGAGAAAATTAAAGGGTTTGAAGAGACTCTGGCAAATTGGAAGAGGAACAGGCCGAAGTGTACAGTCTCAAGAGATAGCAGATTGACTCCTGCAGTGGAACAGTGGATGAATGGGGATATTTATCAAGGGGAGCTGTTTGGTTCAGCTTTGGAGAGGGGTTACTCTGAATTGCCTTTTAGGTAGGAGTGACATAATGAAGTTGAATGAACTGTAGATTACCCCTCAATCATGGTGGAAAATGAGGATAAGGCAACTGAAGAGGTGGTTTCAGATCTGCCTCAGTCTGCGGAGAGAATATATTTTTGTCCATACAGTTACCCAGCCTGCATATGCATTTGTGTAGGTATACCTGTCTCCATGACATTTCGGACTAGCACATTAAGGATAAGGAACTAGTAATGTAGTCCTTTGTGTAATGATGTCATTCTGCCTGCCTTTTCATTCTGCAAAAAACAATAATCTCTGATATAAAACTGGTTTATGAGATGAATTGTCTCTTAGGAAACCACGATGTGTTGCACAATACAAGTTAGGAAAAGGTACATTTAAAAAAGAAAGTCTGTCAAGCATAAAGTTTAAATTATGAATTAATATCACTGGGCTTAATGCCTACTGCTATGAATATCAGAAGACTGTTTCCCCATCTTGTTACTAAAAGGAATGTGAATGAGCACAGAGCAAAATATGGTGGCCTCAGGAGAACAAATACATGATATACACAAGATTTAATTATATCAAATTAATTAATTGAATATACTGAAATGACTTTTGTTAATAAACGAACTGGAAGTGATAGGTATTTGTCTTACTGTTTCCTTCTGATGGAGCACTGCTACAAATAATGAACTACATTCTGTTTGCCCAAGAGGCTAGATGTGACAGTGTCCCAAATAACA